CCATCCTCTTATGAAGAAAAACAGCCTTAATACCAACTTCAATATTGTCAAACCTACGACCACAATAGTAATATTTTTACTTGTGTAGTATTTCTCAGTGAATGTAACACAGAGCTTCACAGATGAAAGACACACAAGTAAAAATACATGAAAAATAACCATCAAACACAATCATATTAGAATAAAAACTCTTACAAAAGTCAAAACTAGAATTTGTTAAAATCAAGGAATTAAAAGAACCTTAATAATCAATTCTAGAACGTTGAGGAAGCCAGAAAAAAACCAACTCCGGTTAAAGTAAAAAGACTTGACACAACTTTAACATCGACACAAGCATCAAAAACACAAATGAATTCTGTTCACAAACGGGGAAAACTCACATCGCTCACAGACACTGTCCAAACTTTGAGGGGATGAGGCCTCCGGCACGAGGGCGGCCATGTCTGTCTGTTCAGGAAGGAAGAACCAGGTGAGCTTCCTGTAGGACTTCTGCAGGCGGAGCCACAGGAGGAAGTAGTCGGCCAGGTAAGGAAAGGAAAGGAAGTGGGAGGGGATTTTCCAGAGCAACATAAGAAATTATATTTGTACTTTTATTGAGATAAATTGGAAAGTGAAATACATTTGGTTGCAGTTCCCAGTTTTGCCCAGCAGAGGGACAAACAAACAAGCTCCTACATTCAAATCTTTTATCTCAACTTTTTGTAAACTTCAAGAAATCGCTTGAGATTTTAATTTTTCAGCGACAGCGAGCGGATCTCCTGGCAGCAAATGATGGATACTGCAAGAATTCATTGTCCTGTGGTTAAGTTCAACTCATTAAACGTATGTTAGACGCTGGGTTTTAATATTGTTATTTTGTTGACGTGCTCTGTTTCACTTCTGTTTTTACCTTTTTAAAGTTTTTGCGTAATTTTTCTTCACTTTATATTCGAGCGTTAAGAGCAGAGGATGTCCCGCCTTAAGTCCTATGAGACAAATTGTGATTGGTCAATATGGGCTACACACATTTGATTGATTGATTGATTGATTGATTGATTGTAGGGTCATTTACCGAGGAACAATTGAGATCACATAACGAGCTTCATATACTGTTCAATAAAACTGTTAAAACATCCACCACCGACACAGGAGCTGTGGTTTTCTGTCTTTTTTTTTCTTGGGGAAGTTTAAAAATATCATCCTCCTGTTCCATAAGATCTGTGGAGAATCAGGCAGCCGGGCCACAGAGGAACCTGAGAGGGAAATTCTTTATCAAATGTCTCTTTTCCACCCAGACACTGTGAGAACGAGCAGGTCTGTGTGTGCAGGGTGAAGAGAGTCCAGAGTCTCCAGTCCCCAAGTGGCAAGACTCCTCTGGCATGGTTCCTTACAGGCAGCAGGGTTAAGGATTGGGCTGTATTTTTGGAAGTGTGTGTGTGTGTGTGTGTGTGTGTGTGTGTGTGTGTGTGTGT